CTCACGCCACCTACATGGACCCGGGCGTTCGGACCCATATCGCCTAAAATTTTGTCGGCCCATTAAAAATGACCTAAGGAACAATAGTCACCGCCTCGCCATGACCGTTACTCGTTTTTCGCATTTTAGGGTCAGAAAAGCTAGAATTCTGCCTGATTCCTAGATTTTGTTGTGCAATAGCCCACGCTTCCTGCATGGGTCCGGGCGCCCAAACCCGGATATCCTAAAATTTTGTCGGCCCGCCAAAAATAATCTAAGGAACAATATTCATCGCCTAGCCATAATCGTTACTCGATTTTTGGTATTGTAGGACCATAAAACTGGTATGGCGGCTGGTGGCTTGATTTTCCTATGCTATAACCCACGCATCCTGCATGGGTCCGGGTGCGGATCGCCTAAAATTTTACCGGCCCATTAAAAATAACCTAAGGAACAATAGTCACCACTGCGCCATGATCGTTACTCGTCTTTTGGCATTTTAGAGCCATAAAATTGAAATGGCGATCGGTGGCCAGATTTTCGTGTGCTATTGCCCACACCTCCTGCATGGCCCAGGTGCCCAGATCTGGATTGCCTAAAATTTTATTGGCCCATCAATAATGATCTAAGGAACAATAGTCACCGCCTTACCATGACAGTTACTCGTTTTTTGCATTTTTGGGCCATAAAATTAAAATTTCGCCTAATTCCCAAATTTTTGTATGTTATTATTGCCCATAGCTCCTTCATGGGCCCGAGCGCCCGAATCCGTATCGCCTAAAATTTTGCCGGTCCCTCAAAATTGACCTAAGGAACAATAGTCACCACCTCACTATGACCGTTACTCAGGTTTTGGCATTTTAGGGCCATAAAACTGGAATTCTGCTAGATTCCTAAATTTTTGTGTGCTTTAGCCCAAGGCTCCTATATGGGCCCGGACGCTTGAACCCGATTTGCCTAAAATTTTATCGTTCTTGAAAAATGACCTAAGAATTTTTCAAGAAACAATAGTCACCATCTTGCCATGATAAAATAGTCACCACCTCACCATGAACGTTACTCATATTTTGGCGTTTTAGGGCCATAAAACTAGAATTTCGTCTGATTCTCAGATTTTCGTGTGCTATAGCCTACGCCTCCTGCGTGGGCCTAGGTGTCCGGACCCGGATCTCCTAAAACTATGTCAACCCATAAAAAATGACCTAAGGAATAATATTCACCGCTTCGTCATGACCGTTACTCATTTTTTGGATTTTAGGGCCATAAAATTGGATCCTATATTTTCGTGTGCAAAGCCCATGCCTATTGCAAGGGCCCAAGGGCCCGGACCCGGATCGCCTAAAATTTTGTCGGCCATTAAAAATGTCCTAAGGAACAATAGTCACCGCCTCGCCACAACCGTTACTCGTTTTTAGAATTTTAGGGCCATAAAACTGGAATTTCTCCAGATTCCCAGATTTTCGTGTGCTATAACCCATGCCTCCTGTATGGGCCAGGGCACTCTGACCCGGATGGTCTAAAAAATTTTCGGCCCATCAAAAAGGACCTAAGGAATAATAGTCTCTTCCTCGACATGACCGTTACTTATTTATTGGCGTTATAGGGTCATAAAACTGAAATTCCACCTGATTCTCAGATTTTTGTATGCTATAGTCTCATGCAAGGGCCCGAGTGCCCGGACCCGGATCTCTTAAAAATATTTCAGCCCATAAAAAATAACCTAAGCAACAATAGTCACCACATCACCGTGTCCGTTACTCGTTTTTTGGAGTTTTAAGGCCATAAAACTTGAATTCCGTCTGATTCCCAGATTTCGTGTGCTATAGCTCACGCTTCCTGTATGGGACCGACGCACAGACCTGAATCACCTAAAAATAATTTGGCCGATCAAAAAAGACCTAAGGAACAATAGTCACCGCCTTGCCATGACTGTTACTCATTTTTTGGTATTTTAGGGACATAAAAATTGAATTCCACCTGATTCCCATATTTTTGTGTGCTATAGCCCACGCTAGGCATGTTCATGGATCAGATCGGATTTAGCACTTTTCGGATTATAATTTCGGATTTCGGATTTTGTAAATTGCAATCCGAATCCGAACAAATTAAACTCAAATTGGATTGGATTTTGATATTTGGATCAGATAAATATTTCGGATTGTCGCCTTATTAAGATGCTAAAATAAATAATTTTAATTTGCTATCTCCTACCATTTTCAGTAAATAAACTCATTCATTTCCATAACTTTTACTTTTAATATTCAAAGGAAAGAAAAGGCAAAAACAGTGAGAGAGAAACCTTAGAATTTTTAAAAGAGCACTCTTCCCTTTTATATGTAAAATATAAATTTCGATTTTCGGAACGGTTTGGATTTAAATTGAGCCAAACTGCATCCGATCCGATATCCATAATAATTAAATTAAAGATCCGAAATCCGATCCAAGGAGCTAAAATCCAATCCAAACCAATCAGAATAACACGGATCGGTTCGGATTTGCGGGTTAACCCAAAAAATGCACAACCCTAGCCCAGGCTTCCTGCATGGGCCCGGGCGCTCGGATCCAGATCGCCTAAAAAATTTCTGACACATAAAAAAAGACTTAAGGAACAATAGCCACCGCCTCGCCATGACCAATACTCACGTTTTGGCATTTTAGCGCCAAAAACCTAGAATTCCGCCCAATTTCCTAATTTTCGTGTGCTATACCACGCCACTTACATGGACCTGGGTGCCCGGACCTAGATCGCCTAAAATTTTTTGGCCCAAAACAAATGACCTAAGGAATAATAGTCACCATCTCGCCATAACGATTACTTATTTTTTTGCCATTTTAGGGCCATAAAACTGAAATTTCTCCCGATTTCAAGATTTTTGTGTGCTATATAGCCCAAGATTCCTGCATTGGCCCGGGCGCCCAGACACTGATAGCTTTAAATTATTTCTGCCCATCAAAAATGATCTAAGGAACAATAGTCACCGCCTCGCCAATGACCGTTACTCGTTTTTTGGCATTTTAGAGCCATAAAACTGAAATTTTGCCTGATTCCCTTTTCGTGTGCTATAACCCACGTTATCTGCATGGGCCCGAGCGCTCATACCCGGATCACCTAAAATTATTGTGGCCCATTAAAAAAGACCTAAGGAACAATAGTCATCACCACGCCATGACCATTACTCGTTTTTGGCATTTTAGGGCCATAAAACTGGAATTCTGCCCGATTCTTAGATTTTTGTGTGCAATAGACCACGCTTCCTTCATGGGTCCGGGCACCCAAACCCGGATCGCCTAAAATTTTACCGGCCAATCAAAAATGACCTAAGGACCAATAGTCTCCACCTCACCATGACGGTTATTCATTTTTTGGCGTTTTAAGGCCATAAATTTGAAATTTTACTTGATTCCTAAATTTTTGTGTGCTTTAGCCCATGCCTCCTGCATGGGCCTGGACGCATGGACCTGAGGAATAATAGTCATCACCTCGCCATGATCGTTACTCGGTTTTGGTATTTTAGGGCCATAAAACTGGTATGATGCCCCGGCCCGGATTGCCTAAAAGTTTTCCAGCCCATCCAAAATGACCTAAGGAATAATAGTCACCACCGCGCCATGGCCGTTAGTCATTTCTTGATGTTTTAGGGCCATAAAATTGGAGCGATCGGTGGCCAGATTTTCGTGTGTTATAGCCCTCGCCTCCTGCATGGGCCTAGACATTCGGACCAGGATCGCCTAAAATTTTGCCGGCCCACCAATAACGGCCTAAGGAACAATAGTCACTGCCTCATTGTGACACCTCCTTTTCCCCAAAGGGATAGGGGAGTTTTTTCAATTAAAGTGACATTATTTGAAATAGGATTATTTATTTAATTAGAGTCGCCACTTGAAATAATCATTATGGTGTCCCAAGTCACTGGTTTATTTTAAATCCCAAATCAAGGAAATTTGACTCTGTTTTAAAATCCGCGAAACTAGAAGAATGGGTAAGGAATTCGGTTAACCCGGGAGAAGGTGTTAGGCATTCCCGGGTTCCGTAGTTTTAGCACGGTCGCTTAACAAATTACACTCGACTTAATTGCCTGATTATTACATGTTTAAAACCTATTGTGCATTTTATCTTTTACCGCTTTTAATTAAATATTTAAACCGCTTTTTATATTTATGGAGTTATTTTTGAACAAGTTACGATGTCGTACACTTGTCATTCTGGTACACATTGCAAACCGTACCACGTGAAATGCACCCGCGATTTACAATATGTTTATTTATTTATTAAATTATTTGAAGTTATGGTCAAGTCACGTAAAACGCGCACTTGAGTTGGGATTTACGTATCGTGATGATTCCACGGGAACCGTACCCATGGTCACGATGATTTATTAATCGCGCCTAAAGTAAACTACGGTGTTCAAAGACGTTTATCCTAAACTAATTTGAGATTATTGTAAGGCATGATTTATGGATATAACATTGTGGGTAGAAAGGGGTGTAGCTTGTGATGCCATTGGGCCTGACAGAATTATTTTGGCCCAAACTAGCTTAAATCAAAAGGTCCAACATTTTCCAATATCAAAATTACTGCCTATGGCCTGCTAACTTCATCTACGGCCAACCATTCGGTTAAATCAACTCAGAACAAAACCTTGCAACTCTAAAAATTAACATCAAGGTCCAACTCAATCATATTGTTACTGATTCTATTGGTTTAGGTCATAAACTATTCTTAAAAAAAAATCAAAAGAAAAATTAACAAAGTATTTCAATTATGAGCAAATTATTATTATTCAATGATAAGACAAACTAAGATTAATTCTAAAACTTGTCAAACTGCCCGTTTAGCCTTAATTAAGAACTGATTACTCATTAATTCTCTAAAAGTCCCTAGATGAAACTAACAACAGCAAAACAACCAATATTTATTTCAAATATAAAGAATAATCAACCAAAAGCACAAAATAACAAGAAATGACTTCACACACCATTTGAATAACAATATATTAACAATAAAGTAAAGGAGAATGGACCTTTATGTAGCAAACTTTCTTTATATTTGGAAACCAACTGTGAACAAAGTCTCGAACGAATATGAGACGGTCAGCGACCTATGAACGCACGCCGGAACCTCGAACCAAGACCTCGTCGGAGACTTTCTGGACTGTTTTTGGATCTTTTAGCAGTTGTTTTGGAGGAGCTGCGTTTCGGTGATTTCGGTGGCTGGAATTTACTGAAGCAGCGGTGCTTCAAAGCTGTATTTTAATGGATGTTTCATACATTAGTTAGCTTCTGCATTTTTGGAGTTTGGTTGGGGAAGAAGGTGGCTTTTGGGGGTTTCGATGGCTGGTTATGGAGGAAGGAAGGTGAGCTACTGCTATGGGATTTTAATGGGAGGTCTATGGTGTTGGAAATGGTGGTTTGGTATTGGATTCCATGGCTGAAAATTGTTGATTGTTTTTTGCCGCTCTCTAGATGAGTAAAATTGATATTAAGAAGAAGAGGGCAGCCCTTTTTTTCTCGCCAGATCTGTTTTCTTCTCCTCTGTTTTCTTTTGTTCTCCAGATCCCTTCTCTCCTTTCTTCACCTGTTCTCAAATCCGTTTTCTCTATGTTCTCAGCCTTTTCTTTTTCTTTTCTGCACAGCTTTATTTTTTTTTTTTAACTTAGTTTCCTAGGGTTCTTAAGATCAAGCTTATATATGGGGTGTGGGAGTTAATATGGACCATTGGATTATTAAAGATGGAAGGCTAAGATTAAAAGGGTTTGATGGGTCTTGGTTGTCCAAAATTTGGGCCTCAATTTGGGCTAAAAGATAAAAACTTGGACAATTTTTGAATTCTAAAAATAATAAAATACTACTACTATTAATTCATGCTAATTAAATAAGATTGTTCTAATTGCAAAAATACTAAAATTATACATTGGGGTAACAAATAAGACTATTTTTGTTTTGTTCTTTTATTTTTTCCATAGAAATTATATTAAGATAAAGATAGAGATAAATATGTTAAACCATAATAGATTTGAAATAATACTAATGACTTTAAGAAAAAATAAAAATGCATAATAGGATGAAACTATTTTTGTAGTTTTCAATTTTTATGCATTAAAACTAGAATTAAAATTAATAATAGAGTGAAATCCTATAGAAATAAACTCAAAACAATGGGTACTGGCTTCAAAACTGATGTGGAAGGCACTGATGCTGAAGGACCTGAAGTAAGAGGTAGAGGCATAGCTGCTGCACTATCAGAAGGATCTGCTGAAGTAGATGGCATGTCCACTGTCCTAGCAGCTACCTCGGCAGACTCATCAGATTGCCCTGCAGTAGTAGAGGGCTGACCCTTCTTCTTTGTGTTTCCATCATCTATCAACGAATACCACGAGAAAGGCTTCTTCGCCTTCACCTTACTGTCAAAATCCCTTGGTTCCACCCTCACATCTGTGAGGTACTCAGTGATAGTGTTGGGATACAGGTAGGAGGTGTCACCTTGTCTGGTAACCAAGGACATGTTGACTGACATCACGACACCCACATTGATTGGGTACCCGGCCATGATCGAGGCGAATAGCACTGCTTGCGGGATTAGTAGATTTGTTTCATTCCGGCATGGGTCTATTTTGCTATACACAAACGCCTGCCATCCCTTTGCCTCAAAATTCAGGGTATTCCCCTGAATTGGAATCCCTGCTGTGATCCATGGTGGTGGTGGTCCCGGAGTTGCCAGAAGCTCAGCTAGCCATGGGTGAGCTGCATCACCCATAGCCAGCTTTACCAAGTATTGTGGCTCCACGTCCTCCAACCTTATGTATGTGTTCAGGGTGGTTTGGTCAAACCTCACTTTCAAGTTCCTCACTTTCGTCACTTTGGTCCTCTTCTTGATGTGTGCCACATTGGCTTAAAATTTCCGAACCATGTGCTCTTTGACATCCACTACACTTTGAGTGAACCATGCCCACCCTTTTCTTTCCCGAAATTGTCTTAATACATTTGGGTTGTATCTATCCAGATCTTTCGACACAAACTGCTGCTCAAGAGTGAACGATCTCTGCGGCCACCACTCTCGGAACCTGTTGAATGCAGTCAGGCTCACAAACCTATCTTCCCAAACTTCCTTCTTCTTTGACCTCTCCA